CCTCTCTCCCCCTCCCTCTCTCCCCCTCCCTCTCTCCCCCTCTCTCTTTCATGTAAAAATAGGTGGCTTGATTGCTTCTTTTGATTAGAAGTGTTTCTATCATATTTTCACATAGCATTCAGAATTACCTGTGCAAATGAAATATATATATTCTTCAATTTTATTTACTGTGTATAAACTCTACTAATAATTTTCCATTTTTAGTGACCATTTCAAGCTATTATTATATTTATTGATTTTAGTTTCTTAACAATATTCATTACACTATTTATTTTTGTTTTCAGATGAGAAAGCTCTTGTTGAGGGTGCCTGCCTATTTGGATATGTCTTTGAAACTCGAACTCCTCACTATGTAGAGATAAATGCTTTAGGGACTCGTGAACGTTATGAAATACTCAATGTGTTAGAATTCACTAGTGCCCGCAAGCGTATGTCAGTGATAGTGAGAAACTCTGAAGGAAAGATCAAATTGTATTGCAAAGGTGCTGATACTGTTATATTTGAAAGGTAATACTGCAGTAATATAAATTACATGTGCTGTGTACAAATAAATGATCAATGTTAATCTTTCATTTCTTCTTTCAATGTTGATTGAGAGAAAGTTAACAAAATTTTCCAAGAAACAGGTTAGGTACTCTGTGAGAAAATAGGATCTGTTTTAGTTTTATTTAGGTTAATTGTGTTAACATCTTCAATTAAGTTATGAATGAAAAAAAAGTGTGAATTGTGTTAATTTATTATGTCACTACTTGTAAAGACTCCCATAAATTGTGAATTGACAAATAATTCTGAATTATTTTTAAAAATGTACAATAATAATAGAAAAATTTATAAATAATAATATTTATAATAATAATAATAATAATAATAATAATAATAATAAATAATAAATAATAAATAATAAGAACAATGAATACTAAATGAAACCGAGCAAACTTTACTCGTTTTGTAAATCATTGTTTTAAAACTCGAGATATCTTTATACTGGATCCTAACTTTAAATGACCAGCCCAAGAACTGTGCATTACAGCAATATATGCTCAGTCTTGTGCTTGAGTAAACATTCTAATATTGTTCTGCATTGACATTAAATTTCTCAAAAAATCAAATAGTCACTTTAATTTTATTGAGGAGTATTATTGCTTTCTATATTCCTTCAGTTTAATTTTACCTAGATTTGTTATTACTTCCGATATCTAATCGTCCATGCCATAGTTTAGTGCTACACAAAAGAGCTAAATGTACAAAATTGAAGTAAAACGATCTCCTTTTGTAGAATACTGCTTAAGACACATAATTTGAACCCAACATATTCCCACACCTGTCCCACAAAACTCGTGTTTCTCTAGGGACGTGAAAACATGGGTATAAGGACTTAAACTTAGTTACTAAGTTACATGCAATTAGAGTTGGTTTTGCAGTAATCTGTTTTTTGTGTCGTAATCAGCAAGCATCGATTTTTTTTTTTTTTTCCATCTTGATTCCGGACTGGGGAGTGGTTTTCTATTTAGCAGTAGGTCACTTACATCTTTCTTTTTTGATGGTGTCTTAAAAATTTTCAGAAATGGTCATATATCCTTTATATATTATATAGAGAGAGGATAATGAGCAATGGGTGGAATAATGAAATTGTGCATTGTTGTCAAGAAAAACAAGATTCATCCTAAAAGTAAAAATAATTTTAATTTAAGAGCATGAATAATTAGGGTGGAAAAACTTCACACACACACCTTAGTATTTGCTTATGAATTGGTCTCCTTCATGATGCTTTCAGAGAATTATTTTCCCAATGAAAATGATGTACTATTAATTTTTTGGCTTCCATTAGAACCGCCATTAAACCTCGCAGTCATCAATTTGTTGGAAATAGTTATTGAATTATATAAATATGTGAATTATATAAATGTATGATCAATCCAGATTTGATGCCTATTTTTAGTTCTTCAGTCTCTGAAACATGTCTAAGAATACCTTCTAAACGTTTTACAAAGTTTGATAAAGCCATAAGAGATGTTTTAGAAAAATAGGACTCAATGTAGAGAATAATTGAAGTATAAAAGAAATGTCGTGGAAACAATGAGTATCCTCTTGTGTTGCTTTGGACTTAATCTTATCTTTAGAATAAGATGAACTTTTTAGGAATGTAATATTTTGTTCAGATATCTTGTCTGAACTGTATGTTTTCTGATTTTCTTTGTCTTCTTTCCCTTATGTACTGTGTACCTAATAAGTTTTGAAAATTTTGTTAACTTGGTTGTTTCAGTTTCTTTGACAATTTCAATTTTTCAATTAGACTCTATTTCCAGTCTCTCTGATGTTTTAATTTCTTATTTTTTTTTTTAATTATTATTATTGTTATTAATTTAATTATTATAATTGTTTTTGTAGTTATTACTTATCATGGTAGAAGAATTAGAGTATCTTGTTGGATTTACTTTGATCCTCTGAGTCTCTGAGGTTCATTATAGTACTAAGAAAGTTTTATTCATATTTGTTTCCATTTATTTATTTTCTGCAAAAGAAGTTCTGAAATATGAGTTAAAATTTTAGTGTGTGTCTGCATTTTCTTATATAGGCGTTTGACTTTCTAACAAAAAACTAACAAACCATAAATAATTTAATTAAATACATTGAGAATTCATCATTTTTAGGCAAAACTAGTATTTCTCTTTGCAAATATTTGAATGTTACTTTACTCCGTGAACATCCATTATTAATTTTATTGTATTTCACCTTTTTTTCTTTCTTTCCATCTTGTTAACTCTACTTGAATTTCATCTTGTCAATGAAACAAACACTTTTATAATCTCTCTCTCATTCTCTCTTCCTCTATCTTTCTCACTCACTCCCACTCACTTACTCTCACTCTCTTTTCTCACTCTCTTTTTCTCACTCTCTCTCACTTTCTAATTTTTTTAACTGGCTTTCACCCTATTGTTGTCTGAATGCCTTCTTTTATAATTTGTCCTATCCCTGTGTACACCAATTTAAGAGTAATTCTTTGTTTGTTGATGGATTTTTCTGATGGTACATGCAGGTGTGTGTGTGTGTGTCTTTAATGGATGAAACATTAGAAGTTTGTGAGAGAGGTGCAAGGTAGTACTTTTTAACATTCCCTGCTGAATAAAGAATTTGGAGGGGGCTAAATTCTCATAAAAAGCAATACTGTGGATGGAATATATTTCTTCTTTTAAACAGGAATCCAATACTTGCATTTTTATTAGGTTTTTCAAAAATCCAATTCAATAATCAGTGTAAAACATATGTTATTTGGTAGCTGTCTAGATTTCTTTCCATTGACAGTGAATTCAGGATCTTCCTGTTTGTTATTTCTCTAAGCATACAAAATCCACTTATTCTCTCATCTCCTGTCATAGAACAATTTCTAAGTCTTTATGGACTGAGATGTGTAAATGAACATACTGCGTATGCACTCCCCTGCATGTAATGTTGACACCTCTTATGAAAGAGCAACAGAAAAAAACAGAAACAAACATTCAAAAACATTCAGCATGGATCAGAAGTGAGAATTTGAAATTTTTAGATTCGTAGTTTTATTATGAAATTTTAAGAAAAGGCATAAAGTCTATGTATATTTAGATTGTCCCCAGATGGTCAACTGTACAGAGATGTAACCCTCCGCACCCTTGAAGAATTTGCAACAGAAGGGCTGAGGACACTTTGTTGTGCTGTTTGTGACATCTCGGATGTTGAATATCAGGTGAAGTACAATTGGGTCATTAATAGAATTTCCTATACATTTTACCTCAAAGCAAAAATGTTTGAGAGAATTAAGAAAATAGACTGATGTGTGAATGGAATTTATTTTAAAATTATATCTTATTGATTTTTTTCTTATTAATTTAATTGTAGTTAAATATATTGAAATAAATATTCTGTCTAATGTTTCATCCCTTTTTATTTAAATTGTAATTCTTGTTTTTGTTACAGGATTGGCAAAATACATATTACAAAGCATCACTAGCTATTCAATACAGGGAACGTAAAATAGAGGATGCAGCAAATTTGATTGAAACAAATCTTAGATTGTTAGGAGCTACTGCCATTGAGGACAAACTTCAAGATCAGGTGCCTGAAACAATTGCAGCTTTAATGAAGGCAGAAATTCACTTGTGGGTACTGACTGGGGACAAACAAGAAACTGCCATTAATATCGGCTATAGTTGCAAGCTTATTACTCAAGGCATGCCGTTACTCGTTCTGAATGAAGACAGTTTAGATGTGAGTTAATAGTTTTAAAATGTCATTGAAGATTTTAGTTGCTCAAGGAAACAAAATGGTAAAGACCTGTTGCCTTTCAATGGCATGTCCTTCACTGCATGTGCTATAAAAAGAGCACTGCAAACCTCGCTAAGAAAGTGTTTATCATTATGTTCCCATGAGCAGCTTATTTCTATAAAGATCATGACAATGAATTATAAATAATGAAATATTTATTTCAAAATGAAGTTGTAACAAAGTGAAGTTAAATTTTTGTGTAGACTACCCGGGAAGCAATTGCCCGACACAATGCGGACTTTGGAGAGCAACTAGGGAAGGCCAACGAAGTGGCTCTTATTATTGATGGAAAAACATTGAAATATGCTCTCAGTTGTGATGTACGAAGAGACTTTTTAGATCTTTGTGTTAGTTGCAATGTGGTCATTTGTTGCAGAGTTTCACCTATACAGAAGGCAGAGGTATGTGGTTGGTTTCTTAGAGTAACTTTGTTATCATTTTCACTATGGATGTCATGTACTTAATATGAGTGTTGTAAAAAATTATATTTCGTAGCAAAATTTTCAATTACATTGTGCATTAAGTGAGCCTGAAATTGATACTTTTTGCAGTACACAAGAAAATGGTAGTCTATTAAAAACTTACCACAAGTGGAATTTTGGAGGGAAGTTTTTAAAGTAGCCTTATTGCCAATGGAAGTTAAAGTGGAATTGTATTATTAAAGTTCAATAAAATCCAATAAATTATATGATAAGTAAACATGTTCATTCACGTGTGTAATAAATAGACAATTCATTTTTCATGCATAAATTCTTGAGCAACATCTGTACATTGTAAATGATTAAATATTCTTATAGGCATTTTGCTGACAAATGCTCCAATAATGAGCTGTAGTGTTTCAAAGATATCTGTTAATTTAGGGAAGTTAGCAATATTACTAAACCATATTTTGTGTTTATACCATATTCTTTTTTTATACTATGCTTATTTTATCATGTTTCACAAGACAAAAAACTTAGTTTTTGTGAGAGACACAATGACCAAAGGAAAGTTTTAAATTCTACAAATTTGGGACAGAAAAATGACTTACCTGCACTGACAGATCCCTTGCCTGCCAGCCCAAAATCATGATATTCAGCAGTGTTTATTGGGAATCTTATTGTGTGTTCTTGAAGTAGTAAATTTTCTACAACAATTAATCTATAGAAAATGTTTAGGTCAAATTATGCATCTGCAAAAAAATTGTTTTGTTTGCCGTGGTAATGAACCTAGAAGTTTTGTGAAGAGTTCACAAGTATAAAAACCAAAAGATTGTAGTTAAGAAACTTAATGCATTCATTTTGCATTGTCTGTTGAAAACCCTCGGTTCACTTATTTTGTTTGAAAGAAGTATGTAAATGGCAAACCTTTCTGACCAGGTAAAGTAATAAGATTCGATCCCATAAACTTTCTAGGTAGTGGAACTAGTTACTACCCATACAAAAGCTATTACATTGGCAATTGGTGATGGTGCCAATGATGTAGCAATGATACAGAAAGCACATGTTGGAGTTGGCATATCTGGAGTGGAAGGTCTGCAAGCTGCTTGTGCTTCTGATTATTCTATTGCCCAGGTGAGATCTTTTCCATAAGAATCTAATTTTATTATTTGAAATTGCAGTAGCAAGTAAATAATGTTGTGGTTTATATTTTTTTACAGTTCAGATTCTTACTGAAATTACTATTTGTTCATGGAGCATGGAATTATAATAGAATGGTCAAACTTATTCTCTATAGCTTCTACAAGAACATTTGTTTGTATGTTATTGAACTGTGGTTTGCCATATATTCTGGTTGGTCTGGTCAAGTTGCGTTTGAGAGATGGACTATTGCTCTGTATAATGTGGTATGTTTAGGCATTGAATGTTAAGAATATCATAATTCAACTAATTTTTTGTTAGTGAAATTTACAAAAAAAAAAAAATTGAATAATAGAATAAGGAACTTTTCACTTCAAACAGCTCTTCACTGCTGCTCCACCTATAGCAATGGGCATATTTGAGAAGGTTTGTTCAGCAGACACAATGCTCAAGTATCCCGCCCTGTACAAACCTAGTCAGAATGCTGAACTTTTTAATGTCCGTGTCTTTTGGATGTGGATTATAAACTCTCTGATACATTCAGTGCTGCTTTTCTGGCTACCTTTATTTATTATGGAGAAAGATGTTATTTGGGGCAATGGTCGTTGTGGTGACTACCTGGTGCTTGGCACATTTGTGTATACGGTAAGAAGAAGAAGAGAGAGATTTTTTAACTAAATTAAAGTATCTCAAAGAAATGTAATTTAACTGTCTTGAAATAAATTGACTTCAACAGCACTGCAAGTAATTTGATTGATAAGTGTTCTTCTTTGAATAATGAAGCAAATATTTTATAATTAAACTAATTTGTTGCTTTAAGATTTAATCATATTCTTTTTATTGTTAGTTGTGTTTAATTTTTTATTTAAGTCCTTAAAAATGGTCAAATATTATTTATTATGACAATAGCCTGTGTTAGTATGTTGTAGTGACTGTGTGCCTGAAAGCTGGTTTAATAACAAATGCATGGACGTCCCTAATGCACATTGCCATTTGGGGATCTATTGCCTCGTGGTTTGTTGTGTTGGTAGCATATAGGTAAATATAAAAAACATGGGTTATCAATTATAGCAAAGAACTAACTGGGATTTTCTTTATTTATACAAAAATTACAATATTTGTATTTCAAATTAGTAACTTGCAACATTCAATTTTTAATTTTTTGTTGTGATCTGTCATATAAGATTTTATTATTTTTGAAACCTAGTTCAGAGGGATATCAAAGTAGATTCAGTACTTTTTAGTCTCTTTCATCTATCTGAATTCTTTGATATTAAAATGTAATTGAAAGTGATTTTTCATTTTTTGTGCTTGATCAAAGAACTTTTTATAGTGTTAACATTGCAAAGAATTTCTAATGACAACACCTTTCAACAATACTTTATAAAACAAGAACTCTTTTTCAGTAACTTCTGGCCTACGCTGGAAGTAGGAGCTGAACTCCTAGGAATGGATCGAATGGTCTATTCATCACCAGTCTTCTGGTTGGGCCTTATTCTCATTCCCTTTACTACACTTATCCCCGACATCACATACAAAGTGTAAGTATAAAATATGAAAGGTAATTTTGATCCAATCTTTTTATTAAATCGGTAACAAATAAACTCTTAATTAATGAATACAATATTGCTTTGAAGTAAATATTTATTCTAGAATCTTCAAAATCCTCTCTGAAAATAGAACTCATTTTTAACTTTTATTTTAATGTTACTGTTGTTAACCTTATTGTTGTATGTTGTAAACAGCGTGTGTGCTACTGCTTTCAAGACATTAACAGAAGCAGCCCGAGAAAGTGAAATAAGGAAAGCCGATCCAGGCAGAGTTATCATGAAAGAAACCAAGCATTCGTGAGTAGTTTTTTTGTATTAGTTTTGTTGTTGTTGTTGTTTTTTTTAACATGATGAGTAACTGTAATTTTTACAAAATTAACAAAGAAAAAATAAAAATTCATTGTAATATACAACAATAAAATTTTATCTAAGAGAAGGTAGTTGCATTTGGTGCTTGAAGAAATATTTGTTTTGGGCTTCTTGTTTTAAGATCAAAATAATTTTTGAATTATAGTAATAAATTTTTCATGACACACATGAATTTACTTTCAAGAATTTGCTTTTGATAGAGACTGTTATTCATGAGACAATTATTCTACTTTATATGAAGAAAATCTAAGCATTATCATAAATATCATTTTTGATTATGCTATAAATATCTTTCTTAAAAATAATTATTTAAAAATCATCTCTACATTCGGAGTTTTATCTCTTGTTTTCATAAGTGTGTCAACAGCACATCAGAGTGCTGCTCAGTGCTGTGTGGTGTTTTCAACGTTCCTGCTCAGCTGTTGATGTGCCTGCAGGAATGTGCTGTTTTCTGCCTCCTTCCCCTCTTTCTCCCCACTTGTGCACTCCATTTATCAGTGTTTGGCCATGGATATGTGTGTGTGTGTGTGTAAACATAATTAAAAACCATAACCTGTAAAATAATAATTTTAAAAAAGGACATAAATTTGCAAAAGATGCCCACTCTGCTTCACTTCTAAGTTGTTGAAAATCTCTGTAAATTAAAACACTTTTTTCAACTTTGTACTTACAGCATGTCCTTTGTATTGTTATGTCCTTGCATGTTGACTGCATTGGTTTCTTTTATTTGTATTGAAGAGAGTTTTAATTTTTTTTTTTATCATTTTGTTTTTCCTCTTGTTTGCATTCGTGAAATTAATTAACCTTTTTTTTCCCCTTGAAGAATCTGTCTTGGCATTTGTTATTTCTTTTCAAATTGAATTATCATGCTCTGGGCAAAATGAAAATATCATTGTCACTAGGGTTGGTACAGCATTGCTTGCTAGTATACCTAGGACTATTTAGGTATGCCTGATACTAATATTAGTTGCCTAGTACTACTATGCCAGTATGCATACTAACGAGCTATGGTGTTACTAAATAGTTTTTATTGTAATAACTCCATGACATGAAATTAGTTCATACATTAATGCAGTTAGTTTTGATATTACCTTGGAGATAAACTTTTTATAGTATGTTGGAGGAAAAAATTGTACATTGTAAATATTGATTATTTTGATAATTATCATTAATAGTAATGTGAAATTCAATAATTATCTGTATAAAAATAATTACAATAAAAGTGTATAAGCATTTTCTATAATTATTTGCAACACTGGCATTTAATCTTTGTTGAATGAATCCAAAATTTTTCTTTAAATTCCTATCATTACTACTTCTCGAAATCAGATTGCACTAGATATTTGTGCACTCAACTTTGTAGTCTGGGCAAATGCTCACATTTCAACAGACCTCATTTGTACAGATTTCTCAGTTACGTTTGCAGGTTCATTCATAGCTTGTTTAAGTCTTATTTTCAAAGTAAAATCTCTCTATTCGATTTTAAAAATCTGTATCGTATGTAAAATTGTAATTAATGTAAATGGGTTTGCCTTACCTATTGGATAAAGTTTATTTTGAAAGCATGTTAGAATTAACAATATTTTAACGTTTTATTGCCGTTAACCCCCATGACTTTGATTTTTGCACATCCTTCAATTTTTAATTTTTTTTTCCTGTTTCTGTTTCTTAAGTCTTAAACGCATGCCACTTCTCGTACAGCACTGTTTGCAAGGTTGTAAATAAAAAAAATTAATTTTTGACATTTAATTCAGTGATTATTAGTACTGCTCAACATACTAAGCAAGTAACATCTTAAGAACAATGAAGCCAATGTTATAGTTAGCTTCCTCACTACGCCATGAAAAGTTAGAGTTCTTTGACAATTTTTTGTGACAAATGTAAGATGCATTTATCCAGTTGTTTTATCCTTTCTTTTCTTTCCCTCCTATTTTGTAACTTATGCTTTTGTGTATAAAAATCTATGGCATTGCCATTTAAATTTGATTTCACTAAAAACTTCAAATTTACTATTTGAAAAAATACATAAGTTCTAAAATAAATTATAAAAATTAAATAGAACGTTATGTAGAAAGACTTAATTTCAAGGTTGAATGATGTTCCTTTATTATCCAGTCTGTCCTATTATGGCTGATCAAAATTAACTATGAAGAACATTATGATTAATTTTGATCAGATTATGTTGAGATTGTCCATTTTCTCAATCATAATTTTGATTGAAATGTACATTTGTGTGTCTAATGTAAATAATAATGTTACCCTCTTGTAGCATGTACAAGTGAACGTTATGTACCATATGTAAAATAGTTACCGTGGTATTAATAATCAGTGTGTATTAGAGTATTATGTTCAAGTATGTCTTCTAGTGTTCTATGCTTCACATTCTAGTAGTGTTTTTGAATTAACGTGTGAAGAGAATTGCATGCCAAATTATATTATGAAGACAATGATCATTGTTTCACCTCAATATTATTGTTTGTAATACTAATATATAATTCTTGGTGCTAATTTGCTCTGGAATGTGTCTTTAATATGTACAAGTTGTCTGCTCTGTCAGGATTGTGCTTTTGTACATAGCTGCATAGTTTTTAGACTAATATGCTTCACCAGCCTATTCAGATCAGATCATGGCTTTGTATTTAACATATCGGCCATCTTTCTGCCCATGCACTGCAAATGTCATAGTTACAGCACATAAAATAATTAATGCAGTCACTTTCTTAAAGAGACAGCTTTCTGTATTATCTTATGTAGTGTATTTGAGAAGCTTGGAACTAACATTAAGTGAACCTCATATTTATTCTTTATTAACTTTGACACATTTTAATATCATGCAAAGTAGTGTGAAGCAGCTTGGGTATTTAGTGATGAATGATAAAGGGATATTTAGTTAAATTAAATTAGCCATGAATCTTGGATGAATTGCCTTGATGGCATGATCCTTGCAGTGCACATGTGGAAGATCTCACGATATATGTTTCAGTTTGTCAAATTGTCAAATGAGCGTCCCTTAGAGGTCGTGTTCTGTTCCCTATTTCGTTTGTTTCTGATAATTGTGCTGTTTGTTTCTTCTCTTTCTCATCAACCCTCCAGACCTCTGCATGCTATCGGACAGCTGGCCAGGTGTAAGTACCTACAGAAGCCAACAAGAATCAAGATTGCATGTGTTGTCACGGCCACTGATGCTAATTCACTTGGCTGTGTGTGCCTGGCTTGCTTCTAGTGTGCAGATTTTTGTTGTCTTTCTCCCTAGCTCCAAGCGCCGATGTGCCCGTGAGATGCGCGGTATGGCTGATGAGCCTGTGCTCACAACAACACATTCACGAGCAAGTCTTCTTGGATGGTTCCGCTGATGTGCAGCCACCACTCTCCAGGGCAGGGCAAGGGTTACAGAAAAGGTAGTCCATGCAGGGGCAAGCATAAGCCCGATTGGTGATGGGGCTTTCATCAGGATCTAACACCAATAAACAGGATAAAATGATACACTCATCTACTGAATGAGGCTCAAGGGGTGTAAAAAGGGCAAGTTCAGTTTCATAATAAACACAAACTGTCTCTAACATGCTTTATTTTGTATTGGAAACATCTTTTCTGGTAATTGGGGTGCAAATTGTCATATTAAAGAGGTGTGAAATAATTGTATGTATCATTTAGAACACAAAGTGAAAAAGAAGAATTTTGAGAGCATTCATATAAATAGGCATTACGGCAAGAAACAAGGTTAGAATTACTGTCCTCTTCCATCAAAGTTGTTTAGTTGATAAATGCATTGCAGATATATTATTCAAAACTGAGAAATTGAAGTATGTATCTCATTTAAGTATGATTTTGCTACTACTTTTAACAAAATATTTTAAATTTTCTGGTTACTTCTTCCCTTAACATATTTCTTGTTTACCTTCATGGTAGATGAAGAGATTGGAGAAAATAGTGACCTAAAAGACCTTTTGGTCATGAAAAATTTCAAATGCAACTGTGAATCTAATAAAACTCTTCAGTAATTCTAACTTCAGTCCTGATAACATTGTTTGTCTCATATGCGAGATAATGTTGCTTTTGATTCAGGGGGCAGAGGTAAAGGCTGTGGTTTCTTGGGTGCTGCATGGCCCTGCTGCATGATCTGCACGTTTCATGCACGCAATGCAGCAATATGTGTTGTGACTGTTGATACCTTGTGCGCTGAGGATTGTTGGAGCATCTGGGTGTTTTGTCCCATTTGGGGGATAACCCACGCACCGTTTTCAGACTGACGGAAACTGCCAGGCTTCTGAAGAATGTAAGGAACGTATTCACCTTCAGCCGACGCTCTGCCACTCGGGTAAATACGGAGGTGGAGCTTTCACGTAAGTGCGCACTCTTAAATACTTTGCATGCTATTCGTGTCTTGATGCATGCCCTGCACCGGGTCTTTAGTACTTTGTGGCTTAGGAGTTCAAACTCTCACCAGATATATAATTATGATTACAGGCATTTTGTTGGTAATGTTTGTTTCTTAATAGAATTAGGATGCTTCAAAATGAATTTATAATATGAAATTTCTTTACAAATAATTTTGCGTACTGGGTGGGGTGGGCTAGAAAGTTATAGGATGAATTTGGAATTAATGTTGAAATAAGAGTAAGTCTTGAGAGTTGGAGGGAGGAAAGTCTAGAAAAGGTTCCCAAATGTCCATTAGGAGAGAGGGTGCGTTTAGATGGACGGGAGTTATTGTTTTTGTTGTTGTCATTGTCATCATCCACTCACAGTTGTTTACTTTTTTGTTAGTACGAATCTGGCTGTAGAATCAGAATTGAAGAAGAGAATGGAAAAAAATGTGGAAATAGGACAAGTCACTGTGCCTTTCTCTTGTTAACTTTGTAATTGAAATTAATCACAGTAATTGCAAAGTAATAAGTAAATGGGAAATTGAACATTAATTTCTTACTAAAAATGTAATAAAGTAGAAGGTTTAATACATATTATAAGTTAAAAGATATAACTTTCAGAAAAGGTAGCTCAGAATTGCTTTGGAAAACTTGTGTATTGAATCCCTTTTCAATTTTTTAATATTAGAAATTGTTATAAAAAATAAATGTTTTCAAGAACTACAAAGTTTGCATTACAAATATAAATGATTTTATAGAACTTAAGAACTTAACTTATAATATGGAGGTATAATAAGAATTTAACTTATAATATGGAGGTAAAGAACTAAAAGTGTTTTTGATTGAACTATTTCACAAAATATGGACAGGGAACCTTACGTCATCAGAATAGCAAACAGCTTTGGTAACAAATATACTACATAAGAAAGGAACAAAGATAGACTACAATGACTACAAATAGAAAACGCTACTGCCAACCACCTCAAAATTATTTACTAACATATTTAGGAATAGAATGAATGAGTGCAGTGAAAACTTCCTGGGTGAAGAACAGTGTGTATTGAGAAAGGGCAGGAGCCCAAAGGATTCTATACTCGCAATACAACCTAGATTAGACAAAACAAATGAAAGAAACTTACAAACATATATGATATTCATAGACTTTGAAAGGGGTTGTGATATGGTGAACAGGTTTAAACTGTGGAAAATATAAGCAGAAGAAGGAATACCAGAAGAAATTATCAATGGGATAAAAACACTCTATATGGACTCAAAAATAGCCTTCAAAATGAATAATGAGACCTAATACAAAATAACTTTGTACAAACGGACTAAGACTGGGATGCAGCCAAACACCCAACCTATACAATATTTATGCCAACAGTCTCAACAAAGAATGGAAGAAGTCAGTAAATCAAGATATACAACTTAACAGAAAACAAACTATACGAACTGCTCCTGTGTGCAGATGACCAAGTAATTTTGGGTCAATCAGAACTGTAACAACACGTGAACTGAATAAAATACTGAAGAACTATGACATGAAAATCTCGACAACAAAAACAATGGCCATTCCAGGGAAAGAAACAAAGAAAATAGAAGATAGTCATTGAAGGAGAAATAATAGAATAAGTATAAACATTCAAATATTTAGGCAATGACATCAGACCAAACTCCCAGGACCTCCAACCCAAAATTTTGAAATATTATAGAATAAATGAAATAATTAAAAGACACTTTGGGAAGGACATGATACAAGAAACCAAATTCAGAATACACAACATGACAGCTAAACCAATGCTATTATATGGATAAGAAACCTGGATCATAAAACAAAGAGAGAACCAAAGACTGGAAGCAGCTCAAATGTGATTCCTAAGACACCTCCTATACTAGACTGGATCGACAGAGATATAAAGAGATAAGGAAAAGATTCAAGACAACAAACATATTAAAAGGATGAAAGAAGGAAGATTACAAAAGGTTGTTGTGAAATATAAGCCACTTGAACAGAGAGATATAGAAAGACCAAGAAAGAAGTGGATGTGCAGGAACACCTGGAAGACTGAAATATTTGAAGTCTACTGCTTAATCAGGAACAGGCCTCCCTGGCCTTTCATCCTGCAGCTCATGGTGATGATGATAAAAATTGTATATTAATAACAACCTATTTCTCTCAAAAAAAATCCACATCCATGTTCACAAAGCTGCTGCCTGTTAACTAAAGCATTGCAGATTATTTGTGTACTTAGATACCTGCCTCATAATCACACAAGAGACATTGATTTACATTGAACTTTCTTGATGAGTAATTTTCAGAATTGTAATTTATGTGTAATAGATTTTGTTTTTGTATTTTTTCCCTCAAAGTAGTCTCCCTCTCAGTCTCTGTCACTTCATTCAACATCAAGCATTTCCATAAAAGTTATTCTTCAATTTCTTGTAGTATTTTTCTCTTTATGTGTTCAACAATTTTCTTAAAATTATTAAGTAATGTAATAAGATGAGAGCGTATTAAGATATTAATGTGATTCAACTCCTCATGACAAATAAAAATACAAATTTAACATATTTTTTATGTAAATCAAGTTTGTCTTAAAAGAAAGGTGGATAATCAAATAAACAAAAGGAAAATAGACCGAAAATTATACATTAAAAATTATTTTTAATGCGATTACTTAATGTACCTCAACGTCATATCCAAAAACAAATAATATGTGGGAACTTGGAAATTTTGGTAAAAGAAATAATTGAAGTCATTGATACAATATTTTTTATTAATTTTAGAATCATTAAACGTTTTCTGCAGCTGCTTTGTGAAGTAAGTAAGGTAAGGGATTCCCTGTGCAATCGCACACAGGCTGATGTGGGCCAAATGGGAGGTGAATGCAGGGTTCTACCTATTTGTCGCCGTCGGCACAAGGAGGATTTTGTGTGGTGAGCACAACGCTCCAGCCGCACTTACCCAGAAGAAAGATCCTGATACTCATTTGGAAGGGAGGCTGAGTTGACTCCAGAGCTGCTCTGAATAGAGAGCAGCAGATAAAAGTCCCAGCCTATGCTAGCTTTGTGATGTATTTTCATAATAGTACACGATTAATATAAGTACTTACTAGTTGAATTTTTTTTTGGACAAAATAGAGGAGAAATTTGTTTATTAATCTTATGAATTACATGATTGAACCAAGAAGGAAAGATACAAATGAACTTTTTTCCTCAAAGATTTAACATTCTTTCCTCTATGATTGAACTCTATTTTTATTGCAGGTATTTCAATATTTTAAACACCTGCTTTTTGTATGACAAGTTTCAGTTCAAAATACAAATATAAATAAACCTTTTTCCAATGATATTTTATTACTATTGTGTCTACTATTCTTCTGATGGGAAATCTCTGTTATGTCTAATAGATTATAATTCTTAAGTAATTTCTTAAACTTCTTAACGCTGACTTCTTTTGGTTGGCCTATAAATCATGATTCATCTTTTTTTTCTGGTGAGAATTTGCACTGGAAACATTAGAGCTGGGATAAGTGATATTCAGCAGACAACACTGCAGCTCACTCTGGTGCACTGCTCACTTGCAAATAAAATAATTTGGCATAGGGAGAGATATGTGGCATTTACAAATGCATTAATGTTAACTGTATTTATCAACTTAATATTGTTTAGTCTTGTATTTTGAACCAATGAAATAAAATAATGTGAAATATTTGTATTCAGTAACTAAACATTTGTATTTGCTTTTTTCTCTTGTTGTCAACTTGTATGTGTTTATGTGTGTGCTTCATGTGCATTTCAGCTTCATATTTAAAATTATGATATTGTGAGCATTGCAATTGATTTCAAATTAACATGGGATTTATATAAAACCAATTTTTAAATATCAATGTTGTTGCTCAATTTCTTATTGTTGCTGTGGTGTTTTGGCACAGAAAATATGAAGCAAGTTTGTATTAATTTTTAAAACATTTATAAAGTGTATTAAATTTCTTCCTATAGTCTTTTGCTACATTCTAATGTTTTCCTGAGGAATCAAAGTTTACTTACTCACCAATCCACAGAACTGGAGTTAAAAGTATTATTTTAATAATTTATTTTTGCTATATTTTCTGAATAATATTTCTTGGAGCAGAAACTTTTAAAATCTTTAGTTTTGAAAGAAAGAAAAAGTTATATAAAATTCAAGGAAAAATTGGACATGCCCAGTCCAGGCATGAGTAAAAAAAAAATCTCAAGTAATCTCTGAGCAAGAATCCTTTGTACTTCAATTTTTTTTAGCTTGATTTATTTATTATGAAAAGAAAGTAATGATAACATTACACAGTATTGCTTACATGAGTTGAGTTTCATTTCCTATAAAGTTTTGGATTACTTCAAGAAGATTATGGCATTTTCTTATTTATAATAGCTGATGTTTTATCTTTAATTTTTTTATCATAGTTAAATATTTCTGTTTTATTGTATTGCACAACATTATTTTAAACATCAAACAATCAGGAATTCTAAAGAGCACCCAACTGAACTAACACTTGTCGGAAATACTTAAGCATCTTCTAGCTTGTTGTTAGGTGACTTCAACCAAGAATTAAGGTGATTGTGAATAACTAACTGAATTTTTACTTTAATTATGGTTTTGGTTTTTAAAGTGTTGTTTAATCTACATGTTTGAGTTCTTAACATGTTTTTAATTGGCGATGCTTGAGAATCTCATAGAAATTTCGGATATATATTAAATAAATGCAATGTATTATGATATGTTTAGAAAATAAAATTTTCACTAGAAACGTGTTAACATTTATCAGTTTATTGATAGTAATGTATTGGTGTGTGAATATATGCATAAATGTGTACACCTCCTCATGCTTACATCTACATCACTTATGGGAAGAGATCAAAAACAATAAAAACAAAATACTGGTATAGGACAGTTATTCTGGTGACAGTGACAATAATTATCAGGCATTTACAATTCTAGTGAAAAGAGACAAGCTAGCTGAAAGTTAACATTAATAGTAAAAAGCTTTCTCATACTCCCAAACATCATGGTAAGCTACTCTTTTGACCCATATTGTTCTTGTACTCATTTTCTTGATAGCTCTGTATCACCTTGGTGCTTGTCCATTGTTGTGAAAGTAAGTAGCCAGTTCAATTTTGTAAACAGAAAAATTACACACTATCACATGTGCAGATACCAGTAATGACAAGGTATTTTAGAAGGAATACAGTTGATTCACAAGAGACTGAAAATGCTTCCCATACCACAAACTCAACTGAAAAAGTTATGAGGGATTTGAAGTCTTAATGTATGCTCACTTTGGCATCACTGCCCTAAGTCTCTGAGCCAATAGGCTGGCTATTATTACTATTACTATTATTATTATTTATTTATTTATTTATTTATTTATTTATTTATTTATTTATTTATTTATTTATTTATTTATTTATTTATTTTGAGGAGGAAAATCCTTTGTTGATACCAGTGAAGCTGGTGATGTCGGACTCCCAACTGGGTTACCGACTAAAAACGTAACCTCCGTCTCTTAAACCGTATTCTCTCCCACGCGGAATCCGTCGTTAGACACTACTTCACGCAGGAGATTGGCTGGTAGCAGATGTTCTACTTCCTCAGCCTTAATTCTTTCTTCTTCATAATACTAACTATAAAGCTCTCTATTGTTTTCCATTTTCCCTGCTAGCTCAGCATCATGTCGACCATGTTGTCTGGGTTTATAACTTGACATTACAAACCTCTCGTTCCACGTTCCATGCTTTGCACTAGAATAGTGTGTGTTCTGCATCATCTATGTCTGCGTGACAGAGACATGTGGGCCTTTATACGATCCTGAAATCGTAGAAGTATTTATTAAATCCCCCATGTCCCGTAAGAGCCTGGGACAGATAATAACTCACCTCCCCAAATCTTCGGCTAACCCATCTCTCGATGTTAGTGTCAATCGATGAGTCCATCTGCCTTTCACACACCTATTCCATCTTCCTTTCCATTCTTCAGGGAGCAACTCCCTTGCTTCTGCTTTAATACTTTCAGTTTGCTTGGGAGGAAGATGACTGTCTGCTTGTGCTTCCTTCAAGGCGAGGTACATCCTCTTTCTTTCCATGGCTATTAAGTCGATAGGTGGTGTACTGGCCAACACTAGCACTGCGCAAGTAGACATTGTGCGGTAGGCACACGCCACCTTCAAGGCCATTCGTCTTTGTACTTGGGCGTACTTGTGTCTGAGAAACTTCATCAGTGAACCCGCTCAGACTGGAGCAACATACAACTGTGAGTGAATATGCCAGATATCATTCTTCTCTTGGCTTCTCTCGGTCCATCGACGTTCGGTAGCATTCTTGCGATGTTAGTTCCTGTCCTCGTCGCCTTCTCTGCCATCACATTTATGTGAGGCCCGAAGCTGAATGTATGGTCTATTTCAACTCCTAAATATCTTATCTGGCGCTTCCAGTTGATTCTCTCCCCTCCCAATCGGAGGCCTGGGTAGTGAAAGGCCCGCCAGTCGGTGATTAAGACAGCTTCAGTTTTTTGCACTGCCATCTGTAGCTGTCGTCTATCTAACCACCTTTTAACTCTAAACAGTCGAAGATTTTAATGTCATTGCTGTGGCTTATTGTTAGCGATGACATCAATCTGTGTATCAACTCTAACTGAACTGCGTATTTTTCGGCAGGACAATGCTTAGAATGTCATCATACAGGACACTCCATAAAATGAACCAAGTCTGGACCCTTGAGGAACACCGCACGTCACATTCTCTTCTATCCTGATACTGTCCACATACGTTATCGTCCTTTCATGGAGATAGTCTTCAATAACCCTTATGAGATATTCCGGAATCATCTTGTTAACTAACACTTCTATAATGTCCTTCCACCTAGCGGAGTTGAAGGCGTTTCTGATGTCAATTGCCACGAGCGCGCAGAATTCCTTCATCTTGCCGACTTCTCTTCTGGCTGCGTCTGCTTACTTCCAGGATGGCATCCGTCGTCGAGCGGCCTCTCCGGAATCCATATTGCCTGTGAGAAAAGCATATGAGCCTCTCAAGCCTAGAAAGTATTAAACCCTCAAGCAGCTTTCCCATGGTGTCAAGGAGGCACAGTGGTCTGTATGATGACGTCTGACCTACCGACTTGTTGCCCTTTCGGAGGAGTATCAGCTTTTATCTTCTCCACGTCTTGAAGAATTTCCCATCTCCAAGGCAGTGGTTATAGATTGCCAAAAGGCATTCCGGTTACTCCTGTGCCACTATTATTAGTATTTCACAGGGACTTCCATCGAAACCTGGGGCCTTTCCCAGTTTTCATGCTTTTCGCCACTTTCCTCAGTTATTCTATCGTGAAGTAGTCTGCTGTGTCAACCGTGAAGTCGCTCTGTCTTTGTCTCGTCCAGGAATCTTTAGTGGGAAAGAGGTTCTAATAGCTTTCCTCATCCATTGTGGATCATTCAAACCAGTATTATTATTATTATTATTATTATTATTATTATTATTATTATTATTATTATTATTACTATTATTATCATTATTATTGTTGTTGTTATTATTATTATATAACTAGCTATGGACTTCTAATTGTTAGCTATCATGTGCGAATATCTCTTAATCAAACTGCTTGAAGCAGCACACCATCTTTACTAACTAGTATCTGCTAAAACAAAAAACATACATTTTTTTCACCATAATCCCATAATATTTTAATTGAAACAAGACTTACACTCAAAAACTTTTAAGATTTCAAAAAATCTTATCAAAGATCATTTAAATTGCTGTTCTCTAGTAAAAGAAACTTACTAAAACTAAATTATTAAAAACTCCTGAAATGTAAATATTAACATCAGAGATAAAAAATACATTTATGTACTATTAAAAATAAAAGGTTTATTTAAAAAAATGCTTATAAAAATTCGGTGCTGATAGGGTTTTCTGGAGCATTTTATAACTTTTTCTGTACTATGTATATTGTATAAACATTTTAATATAGTTATACAAAGTTATTTTGTATGTACATTTATGTATAAGAAAGTAGTTATTTTGTTCCAGAAGACAGTTCAGTGTCTGTTTTGAGCTCATTTGCTCATGAGCCCATGATCAAACCACCCTGTTGGAGTGTGGAAACTCTCCCCAATTTTTGAGCTATTATATCTCTGAAAAAGTTAAGTTATGGTATGAGGTCAAAGAAATATAGACACATCTAAATGTGACTATAAAATTTTTGATACAATTTCTCCATGCATAGCTTTTCAAAGTCTTTTTTATGGAAGGTTGTACACAGTGGCAGCATTTGAAATCTAATAATCATAGTGGAGACTATTTGAAATGATTAAATACTGAAACGAGACATCAATTTATGTCATGGCATGTGTAATACTAGTAGTACTGTACCTACATAATGGAATTATGTGAAATGGAATGTTTGTATTAGAGGGTGTTTGTGTCACAAGTTGTTACGAAGAGGAGGGAGTTATAAAAATGATATATTAATCTCCTTTGTGCGTTCTTGTTGAAGAACATTAGGAACTTAAACCCCATCCGTAATGTTTTTCTGAAAACTCCAGTTGAAAATTTGTGCATAGAACACTTGAGTTAGTTTTTTTACCTAACTGTTTTTCCCTTAACTACAGCAAACAACAAATTTACTGCATTTAATTTTACTTTTAATAGTATTGTATAATTGAAAAGATTAAGTAGCTTGTAAAAATGTAATTGTAATGTAATTTGCAGATGGGTATGCTTTCTCGCAAGAGGAAGGTGGAGCCGTTCGGCAGTCAGAAGTCATCAGGGCATACAACACCAATCTTCCCAAGCCAGGTGGGATGTAAGCAGCCTGAGGCTTATCTGTCCAACATTGGCACACCTTCTGTCACATCATTCTGTATTTTATATAAATTTAAATAAAGCCTGTTTATGTATGTTGTAAATAATATATATATATACATATAAGAGAAAATATCTTTGTTATTGTATATGAGCCTCTCGAGTGGATTCTGGTGTGCATTGTTCTCTACTGTGTTCTATAGTATTAACTGTTTCCTTTGCAATGAGACTTGTCGAATTCTATTGCTATGTGATTCTGGTGCTGATATAAGATTTATAAATTCTGATAACAGGTGTTTGTGTTCAGACTAATGGTTGTTTACTATGAAAAAAATAATTCACAAATATTCTGTAAGTGAAGCACATTTGATGTGATGAAGGAATGTATTTGAAAGGAGAGGAATATTTTTCTCATCAATTGTCATGCATTTTGGTCCTCTAATAATTAAATTATTGTGAAATACCCCTGAAGCTAGCTTCACAAGAAATTTGAGTTACCTGTTAAGGCTCAGGGAAATGCCTTTAACATCATAATTGGTCAGTGAAGGAAGGAAGGTACATTTTTGTTTGCTCCCAGTGATTAAATGATTACTTTGCAAAATATTGCCCATGTGATACTTGGGGAATGATAAGAAACTCATTGGCCTAATGTGGATTATTTGTATTTGAACTATGTTGTGTATTATTTGGAAAGGGGAATTAACCTCATACTATTTATAACTTTTTTTTGACACTTTAGTTAAAAATGAGGTAAAAGGAAATAAAATAGAGAAAAATATATAAATTGAAAATGAATTTACACTATTTAGAACCTAGTGTGGCCCAAATAAATATGACATCTAACGAGAATGTATCTCAGTGCAAATGTTTTGCAAAATACTGGTATCTGTAGCACATGTGGGTGTATCAATATTCTCTTTGTCTACTATATATGATTAAACAGATAAATTTTGGAAAATGTAATTCATATTCTACTAGAAAGTTTCCCTCTTTTTGTCAAAGTAAGCAAGTGTTTGTTCATTTGTTTTTCTCTCAAACTATTTTTATTCAGAATGTATAATTTACATGTTTTCTTTAGATCCTTTTCCATTTAAATGGAAAATCCTGTAATCATATTATCTGGTTAGATGCACATGTATTTTCCATCCAAAGCATGTGACAATCAGAATTAAATGGCAGCCCAAATGCTGACAATCTACAACCATTGACCTGTCAGATACATGCACATATTTGCTGCGGGAAGATACAATTCAATATTGTAACCGTGTATAATTGATTAAAGGTCTGGTTGGCCTTAAGAACTCACCTGGTCCAAATGGCACTGTAAAGATAAGTTCTGATGGAGATGTCTTTTGCAACATAAAATGTAATTGGATTGTGAATGCCAGAGTTAATGTTGCTTAACAAATGTCCACTTAACAAAGGTCTATAAATTTATATTCTAATATATATATTCATTAAAGATATACTTTACTAGAAAATGTATAGATAAAATATTGTGACATTGAATGTTTTTGTCAAATGATGACATTGGATAGTTACTGTGAGAGATGTGTGATATACTTTAATTCAAATGTCACTGAATATTTACACTTATTTTTATCATAATTATATAACTGTTCAGATGACTTTCCTAACTCATATTCTCTTCAGTGGGGTATAAAGATTAGTAAGAGGGATATATTATATATATTCAGCAAGAAAGATTGGCCTACAGAGCATCCTGATTGACACTTCAATCATTATTTGTTTGAACATCACAACAAATTGTTTAATTTGAAAGATAGTTCTTTTTTTTTATTTTATATTTTATAAATTCTAATAACTAATTACTATAAATGTTGAGGCTCCTTGACCTATGTAATTGTCATTTTTCTGTACAATTTCGTACTTATTAATATGTGCTCAATATATTATTTTATTATTTAACTTTCAAGAGATAGGATACAATTTTTTCTCTTTTTTCTTGAATAATTAGAATTTTCAATTTTCTCGAAGTATTTGTGATCTGATCTGATTTGGTTGGTTGGGAAACAATCTCAAGTTCTGAACTGCAGTTGCATTGATGTGATTTTGTTTAATTATTTCTGAGATATTTTTTGGTGTTTGGCTTTTTTATGAAGATATAAATGTTAAAAATTGCTTGGAAGACTCAGTTTCATTTAATTGTTTAAAAAATTTATTAAGTATTTTATAAAATTGTAACTAACATATTATTTACTTGTAATGAAATAAAATATGAGCTGAATGGTATACTGAGTGCTGATGCTAGAATGTTGTTTCTTCTTTTGATTTTCATGATTAATTGTTTATTTGCACATCAACACAGTTGATCCAAAGAGCACTCTTCATACATATATTAGAATGAATTAGAATCACTGCCATCCATTTCAATAAAAGACATTTGTGTTGTTTAACGAAGAAGTAATCAATTGTTCAAATTACGTTTTGGTGTTCACAAATGTAAATTTTTTAAGAAGTGTCACCTCGTGCATCTGTAATTGCGTGTTAAATATGTATGCATGTGGATGAGTGCCTTTTACAATTGTAAATATTGATTATTAAGAATTTGGTGAATTTGTGTGTGTTAATATGTTTGTATATAAATTTGGTTCCATTTGTTATGTGATATTTTATTTGTTGATATTTTAGAATATCAATACTCTAGATTTTTGTTGTGTTAAAGAGGTGAACAACCTACTGTACATTACTCAGGAATTATACCAGTAAGTGTGTGAAAAGTGACAATTTGAGTTGCTTCCCTTTACACAAATCAGTGTATTGTTTTAAGTACTTACTCAAGTGACCTAGTCGTGTACAAAACATTTATTGACCATTTCTTTCACTACAAAACAATGTAGGCCTTCCAGCTATTTTTGAAAATACACTACATGTAACATTATTAATACTAATTACATCTTTTAAAACTGTATTATATCAGAAAGCTTTGTGAGGGCCTGTTGTCAATTTAGTGATAGAAAGTGGCTACTAGATGTAATATTAAGGGAGGTAAAGTATTGATACATTTTGTTTGGTTTATGGTGAATTGTTTTAATACAAACTTCCTTTATTGCTGAAATGATGTGTGTACTATCTACCTAAAAGTTAGGTGTGTGTTTTCCATAATAAATGAAAGATTTTTGTAAGGATGTTATGAATGTCTCTTATGTGCTCAGGAGCTTTATCTGTTAGCAAGATGTGATTAAAGAAGGATGGTGAAGCTCTTTCTGCTTTAACAGTGGAACATAAGAAATTTTGGTGAGATCAAAATAGAAAAAAATAGTGAAGAGCTTATCTAGCTAAGAACTTATATTGAGGACATACACTTTCATCATATCGATGTGTGATATTGGTGTCCATTTTGCAATTTAATATAGTTGGAAGTGAAAACATTTATTGTAAAGAATGTTCATAAATATGTATTTATTGTATCAGATGCTGTATTTTGTTTTTCTTTCCTTTTATCAGTCTTGCCTCACCCATGACATAACACCAGAGACTAAGGAATATTATCAGTAAATACTTCATGTTTTTATACACCTCACCAAGTTGCCTGGCTAGTCTCAGAGCCATAGGTGGGTTATTTTTCTTAACCTTGCCTATTTCTGCTACTTCTGTGAGTAGGAAGTGAACAAGGTAGCAGGAACAATTCACATTTTCATTTGACATTGATATTTACTTCACTTTAAGGAAATGAAGATGATTCGATTTTACACTGACAAATGCAGTACATGATGACAATTAACACTAGTTAGAATGAATGATACTAAAACACTGAATAATCTTGCCAGCAAATATTTGATGGTGTGCAGTTATGGTTTACAAAATTTAATTGAATCAGAACCAATTTAAGACTAGTGGCTCAAACATTTTGTCCTCTTTGTTTTACTAGTTATTACTCAACAACTACTCGTACTCTAAAAAAAGTCCATAACATCATTTAAAGGTCTAAAATTGAGGGATGAATTGCATCAAGAAAAATATCTCGCTTTAATATGAGAGGTGTATAAAAGATTAAAAAATTACCATTTTCAAAATTTTATAGATGTTTTATAATTATTTTGAAATATCACTAGAACTTAATGAAAAGAAAGAATTACTAAACTAACTTGAGGGATCCTTCAGATCGCACTAGATTTTATTCTTTGCGTTTATTTATCATGATACGATCTCCAAAAGACTGGTGTAAGCTTTACGCATGCATATACAGGCACTAATCCTGACAGTTACGTGTGTCTGTCACATACATACCATACTAGTGGCATAGGCTCAATGAATGCAAGTGGACTGTGTCGCACTCACATCCTCAATTTTTTCAGCTCTTTTAAACTTCATTAAAAATATTTTTCTATTCCTCAAGTATCTCTCTGTTCCCTGTGTACCTTTTGTTTTTTCCATGCACTTTCTGCCTGGCACCTCCATGGATATGACAGGCCGAGAAACATCCCTTCAGGTTGTCAAATCTTCATGGAAATAGCCTCTGACATTTCCTTGATTTCCTCTACTGAAGCCATGCCTTCATATAGGAGGATTTTTCCTAAAGAAAATTCTCCAGGAAAATGATTTAAGAATTTTTTAAACTTTCGGTCATTCTTTTTAACTTTCTCTCTAGTGCTAAACAAGAAACAGCACTATTGAAACAGTTTGAGCAGTGTACTTTGCAAATGTGCACTCTATTCTCAAATACGGGATAATAATATGGGGCCAAGCACCAGAGGCTAAACAAACATTAGAAATACAAAAGAGAATAATCTGGACAATAATGAATACAAAAAGAAGAGCCCTGTAGACCTCAATTCAAAAAACTTAACATACTTGCACTGCCTTGTATATTCATTTATGAAGTTCTCATGTTTGTAAAGATAAATCTAATAAACAATGACCTACCTTACAAATTTAACTCAAGCTTACAATCATACAACATAAAGCAAGCATATAACCTTTGTCAACCAATGTGCACAAGTACATTATACCAAAAGTGTACATTCTCTACAGGAATACAATTCTTCAACAAATTACCAGTACATCTGAGAAACGTAACAGAATTACACTACTTAAATAATAAACTCAAATACGTCCTTGGGCAAAACCTTTTTATAGTGTTCAGGTGTAACTAACATGTGCAATCTGATTTCAGGTGCTGTAGTAGGCCTAGGTGTAGAAATACAAAACCTGCCTCCTCCTCACCATTACAAGATTTAAACACTGAATGTACTAATATTGTTAAATTATATGTACTTGTTATCGTAATTGATATCACGTACTGTTATTATTATTAGTACTATAATTATAGGTAGTAGCAGTAAAATGACTATACCAAGTAAATTTTATTTTAAAAATAAAACTACTATTCTTGAAATGTTAAATTATTTTGCTACTAAAAATAATTATCAACTGTAGGGCTCTTAGCTAGCTCTTGGTCAGCATGCTCGCTTTCCATTATGTGGTTCCGGGCTCCATTCCTGATGAAGCCAAGACTAAGGCATGTGTTTTTCTTACAATGTCCCAGTATATATTGCTATGTGATGAGAAAATTCACTTCTCAGGTTGAGAAGATAGGGATACGGCATAGGGATGTTAACCCATGGCCAGCGAGGCAGAAACGTTGCCGGTAGGATTGAGCCTGTAAACAGGCTGTTACACCAAGTACATACAAAAAACAGTACATACTTACATAATATCTTTATCTGTATTGTAGTATAATTCCTAGACCCAAAACTCGGATCAGTTTCTTTTTGTCCATTTCTCAGGTCCTTAGAGCAAATACCGGGATGCAAATGATGGCCCCTTGTTTTGTTTCTGGACAGTAACTGTAACTTCACTCTCTACACTCAAGAAGATGTGCGCAATTATACTCCCTCTACATACATCATATTTGACTTGTCATACACAATTGTAATTGTATATGTAACTCAATAAAATATTACACAGTAGAGAGAAAGTTTTGTATTGTTGCTGGGTAAAACTGCGAACTTTCGACACAAAATCTCTTATTACAAAGACCTGGTAATGAAAATTTGGTGTGATCCAGTTGCTAGATATAGAAAACATCCTCTAATACGTGGTGTAGCCAGAATCCATGTCCTGATTTTTTGCATATTATAAAATTTCATTTTTTTTAATGTCTTCTTACAACTAAAATATTGAATATAGAGATTTTTCCCTTAATCAAATGTTCTGTAAAGACAGATTTTGAAATAAAATTATCTACAGTTTTTGGGAAAGTTGAGTACTTTTTTAAAGAAATGTGGACAATTTCAAATTTCATTTATTCATTTTTTTTCTCAAAAAATGGCACCAAATTTTTTGATTAAATTTTGATCTTAAGAGAATGGTTAACTCTTTGTTGAAATACTTGATTTTTTTTTTAATTGCAAAAATTCAAAATATTTCGGAGTCTTTCTACAACTACATTATGAAGATAATTATAGTGTAGATAATAGGTAGCATATTTTGAATTATTTGCTGTCTAGTAAAGGCAATTTTTAAATTTTAAACAATTATCATTTCAAAAACGACTCCATTTTTTTACGTATGTAGCAAAGAACAGTAAAGAAAGTGGTGTTGGTCCCATTTTTGGCATTTCTATTTTTTCAAAAAGAGGGAAAATTTCAAAATGGTTAATTGGAATTTCCAGTGCTTTGTTTGAAGCGGTGTCTATATAATAAGGCCGTCGCGGCATATAGCGTCAGTATATAATAACCTTAATTGAAATTAGCCCAATTAGGTTTTATTGAGCAAAACATCACGGGTGGAACCAATTTACAGTGCGACATCTCATGGCTGTGATTTTAAAACACTGGTACGTAATATTTTTCGTACCAGTGTTGATTAGTGGTTTTTGTGTTTATTGTTCCCATATTTTAAAATGTTCCTCTCATCTAGGTAACTGTGGCACCTCCGCACCAGTAAAGAGTAGCTCTGCTACTACGCTCCCATAGCAGGGTGGTATTCGAAGAGATATGGCCATTCCCCTACCCCAAAACCCCTCCTGAGGGATATAAAGCGTGGGGTTGAGAGAGGAGCGGCAGAGATTTTCTGGAGTTTCTGACGCCGTGCGTTCGTACGCCGTGTCTTCGCGTAGTCACTCGTCACAGGGCCCCTGGACGTATGTAGTCGCTCATGACAAGCATAGAATTTGTGCCCTCAAATTAGTTTTCTTCTAGCAGTAATCACTAATTTGGATAAGATTCTGATTATTTTCATCACTCCTTTCATTAACAATTCATATTGAATAAAATTGACTATTTTGTTTACAGTTTAATTCCATAATTGAAGAATTTATTTATTATTTTTTATTTATTTTTTGTTTGTTTGTTATATATTTATTTACATAGATGTCGAAAGATATAGTTCCCCTTGTGAGTGGCGCCCATAGAACGTGCCATATCGTAGGTACGCATCTGCCGGACCCACTCGAGATTCATCTCACCTGCGGGTTGCCATAAGCTGTTCACATGATGCAAGAAGGAATGTTGTTTTGTTTGTGAACATAATATAAATGTTATTTTCAAAACAGCTACAACCAGACTTTACACGGGGTATAAAACAGAAACATTTGGTAGTTAATACCTCCTATATTGGCCGGGAATAGAAAACTTAGTACATTGTTGCAATATATGATGACAAATCAGGCACCAATGAGGAGAATTGTCAGTTGGAGATGCAACCCGCAGAGCACGAACGTTCGTCGGGATGCCGAACCAGCCCGCCGCATGGCGCGGTGGCCCGCCACGACGAGTACCCCTGCCACGCTTCTGCACGGCAGTCCGCTGAGTAATAGTGCTAGAAGGGCGTCCGCTCCCCCCGACAAGTCCATAAGTCTAAAAGTAAATGAAAATGGTTCCACCAGAAATACATTTTCATTTACGCTATCATCCGTATACTATTTGCTTATCTCAACAATTGTTCTGTAACTTTTCGGAGTACATAAGTAATCAACTGTGATATTTTACTTGCTTTTTATTCCTCTCAAATGTGTGTGGTCTATTAAAACTGTTTTTAAATGTATATTATTCTTCATAAATCCGATATTTTAGTTTTTGGAGTAATAGAGTCGTATTTTTTTCGAAAAGATTATTTTTCGTTTACGAAAGCAACGGTTCTTTTGACTTCAAAAATTATTTCTGTGGTGTAACCATGTCTAATGGATTTTGACACTGCTTTACGCAAACGGCCAACTTGTTCGCACTTTTCTTTACACTCAGGTCTGTTCTTTGATCCCTTATTTATTAATTTGACTTAACTTGTCATTTTCTGTATACTTGCTTTTTGGTAACAAATTTATGAATGAAACATTCAAAAGATCAATAAATGCTTTATATTTTGAACTTATATCATTCTTAAAGATTCCTAAACTGTTTATATATCCACATTCCTTATCCACTTGTCCTTATCCACATTCACCTGAAAGCTATCCCAATTAATTTTATTTAA